AAAAAAAAAAAAAAAAAAAAAAAAGAAAAAAATAAAATATGTATTCAATAATTTTTGACTGTAATCATTGAATAAAAGAGATAAAATTAAAATATTCTGTCTGTTTCTATTAAAATTCTATTAATATTTTCCCTGATATATAGAATCTTTCTGCTGGAATCACTGATTTTTTTTATCTTATTTTGGTCCAACATTGAAAATTCTATCTTTGATACAGATTTTTTCTTTAAATTTTCACCATGTCAAACCAAGTAACAAGGTACCAAGAACATTTCAGATACACTAAATTCATTCAAACAGCTTTCTCTGGTGTCGGTTTTTTACATGGCGACGCAACTTCTGTCTCTGGTTCGTCGGCTTTCCGTTTCTTACGCACCAAATGAGATATATCACTAGCAGGTTTTTGAATTTTAGGTGCAGAATCATTATTACCACTTGGTCCAGCACCATTTGAACAACCACCAGCTACTTTGCTTTTGATACCCTCTATGACAAGTTTGCAAGCTTCTTGCTTGAAGTCCTTCATATCTGAAATCTTCTCCTGGATTTCTGGTAGCAATTCTTTTAATTCTTGGATCTCTCCTTCTACAGTATAGAAAGAATCATCCGTTTTAGGAGGTTCTTTTATTTCTTCCAATTCTTTTATACGCGTTTCCAATAATTCTGTAGCTTTATTAAACTCTTCGATGCTAGCGTCGAATTCGTTGCCCAAAGAATGAGCCAATGCAAGTTGATAATGTATTTCAGCTATTGCTCTTGGCTCCTGAGGCTCAATCTGTTGTAAAAGCTCCAAACATCGATGCAGATCATTCAGAGCACCTTGAAAGTTTCCTCCCTCCATAGCCACTTCTCCTAAGAGTCGATAAGCATCGGCTAATAATTTCCAACCTGTTTGACCACGTTTTAGCAGCACCAATTTCGCAAGCTCTAATACTTCCCAAGCGACCTTTAATTTAATAACAAACATTTATTAAATTTTATAATTTTCGATGTTAGAAAATTTGTATAACAAAAATTTTTAAATAAAATTTGATTAATGCAATCTTAACTTAAATATTATGTATAATGAATAATAATAAAAAAATAAAAAAAAAGATTTATAGATATATAGATAATTTATATATAGATAAATAATTTTGTTTACAAACCTGTAGGTTGTTGACTTCATCCTCTTCATCTTCATTTCCTATATCCTCACCATCATTTTCTCCATTTTTCTTTACATCTCCATTATGATCAGATGAACAAGATGGTCCATTAGCGTGACTTATATCCTTACTAGAACCAGCTGCAGGTTTCTCCTCATCTTCCTTTTCTGGCTTTTCTATCGCTTGTTTCGATATTTTATTATCTTCTGTCTTATCAACTGATTCTTCAACTTCTGATTTTTCAACTTCTTGTTTTTCATTATTTGATTCTATTTTCTCTTCTTTTTGTTCAGTTTCTGGTTTTTTAGATTCTTGGTCAGCTTTCGAATCTTCAGCTTTGTCCTCAATAGCAGTTTTCTCTTTTTCATCGCTCACCGTACCATTATCTGTATGATCTTCACTCTCCTCGTCCTCTTTTTCATCTATGTTGCTTAATTTTTCATCTTCAGCTTCTTCCTCGTCTTCTTCATCATCCTCTTCAGTTTCTTCTGTACCTGGTACTCCGCCACCCAATACTCCAGCTTCTTCTCTTGCTAGACCAAGAAGAGCCCGACCGTATAATAAATAAGGTTCACCAAGTTCATCCGCAGTATCTCCATGTTTTTCAGCAAGCAATTGACAAGCTTGTGCCAATGCGGTTACAGCCATGGTATAATCTCGCACTAACAAATGTCGTTTTCCATGAGAGATTGCCGTAGCTGGATCGGTAAAGGCTGCACTTTCGGCGACATCGGCCATCTTTAACATAAAGTACATGTATTTACTTTTGAAACAATATAATAATATTTGAAAAATTAATTTTTTTTCTTAAATTTCTATCGATAACATTTTATAAAAACCAAAAATTGATTAATAGTATAGTAATAATAATAACTTGATTAATATGTATAATATTTTAATTTTTTCGATCATCCTTAAAACATCTTTAATTATACGCCCGCAGAGTATTGATAATATTATGATGCAATTAAAACAGAATATTATACCACCTACGCGTGATACGTGTCGTGCTTTCTACATGGATTATATTTAAAGCCAAATTAATGCATTCTTCTCTCCCCAATGTCAATACCGATTAAATAAATATAGAAAGTCTTTAAGATTTTGTAGGAATTCAACTTGATTAAAAACAACTTGCGGTTAAGCAATTCGAACACGGATAAGAGAATGACATTTAAATGCCGAGTATTATATCACTGATATTATTAACATTAGCATAATTGTAAGTAGCTTGTTAACAATCGTATTTTTCTAATTCTATTATAAATGACTAACAAACAAAGCGCTTTTTTCATAATCCAATCAGAATCTCATAAATAGAATAATAAATAGAAAAAATAATAGAATTCGCAACATTGATGTAAATTAATGATAGATAGTTTTTGAAGACTTATTATGTTTTATAATTTACTATCATAATATATTTAAAGCTTTTATTATTCATATTGATAACAACTCAAATTCTTATATTAGAATTCTAAAAAAAAAACCTATCATGTTTGTATATACTTATACCAAGTTTCATTGAAAGTTTAATGCTTCATTGAAATTAAAATTTTTAAAAAGCCATCCATAAAATTATATACCAGAAAAAATTCTTTTAATGATGACACGATAAAGAAACAGTTCTTCGTACTCCAAAGAAACAATGTTAAAAACGCTAATGCGGGAAAAGAACTGTTATTATCGTTAATAATAATAAAGAAAACTATCAAGAGAATAATTTAGGAAGGGGTGGATCGAATCAAAGAATGAAAAAGAAGAGAAAGAAGAAAAAGAAAAAGAAAGAATAGAATAACGAAAAGAAATGATCTCTCATCTCTCGAAGGGCGAGAAAGAAGAGAGAAAATCATCGGAGTGGATTGTCTGCAGCATCCGGGTGGGGTGGTTAGTTGGGTGGTACGTCGGTCGATTTTCGTGCGCTTCGACGCAGAACGGAGAGGGCGTGCTGATCGTTTGCCCCCTTATAGTAGTGGAGAGTCGCCGAAAACACCACGAGCTCCGGGGGTGTTGATTGGTCAGTGCGTAACTGGCAACTGTCGGTACAGTTGTGCAGCATTCAGTGGGCTGCCAGCGGTCGCCCTGGGCACCACCTGCATGGATGGAGCCTACTCGTGTACCCAGGGCCCCTGGTCCACGTCTTGTTTTTCTCGTTGCGACGCTAGCCCTCACTTTCGCAGGTAATCGGCACAATTCATTGCGTTCGATGATCCTCCCATTTGCTCGACGTCTCGTGTCTTCGCTTGGACGGATCGTCTAAACCGGCTATGCAATAATCAAAATCCATCTTACGTAATGAATAATCGGATAAGGTGGTTTATTTCCGTTATTAGTTTGGTAGACGCACGTTGAATGAATATAGAATGTGCTTTTTCCAATCCTGTGTATAGACTCATTCGTTAAACCATCAGCTGATCCGAAGAATCGTGTCACTAGGATATTATGAAGGATGATCTAAATGTATTACGATGTTTCCATCGTGTTTCCAATTTGTGTGCTATAATTGCATTATGTGAAAAAAATACTGTGACCGATAAAAAAACTTTCAATAAATACATAGATCTACATTTCATCAGATTAATTGATACCGGCGTACGTTTTTAATGATGTATCGATTAATTGCGTATTAAAGTTTATATAAAATAGAGAATACTTGTAAAATGAAGAAACACGTGAATAATGATACTTTTATTCTTGGTTCAAAACGAAACGTTGCATTTTGCAGCGTCATCGCATCATATCTGTATTTCATATAGATGATATTTATTCTTATTCTTAATAATTGTTATTATTTTATCGTGGCTATTTGCAAAAATTAATATAATTTAATGAAATTATCTGAAAACATAGAATATATATATATATATGTATATATGTATCGTTATTGGATACCACTATCATAACGATACCATGTGACTTTCTTCGATAAACACTTTATTCATTTTCACTTTTTTAAGTGTTGATTATTTTATTAATATATTTATTAATATCTCTTATTGCTTTCCTGAAAGATTTCTTTCTGGTAAAAGGGTCAACAACCACCGGTTGAATTCATTGCACCGTACATTTTTTTCAGTTGAGAGATATGGTCACTCAGAGAGAAGTGCTTCTATATCCTATTATATTCGAGAACCTTTGCCAATGGTTGCCACTAGATTTCTTATGTAATAAAATTTTCTATGGCACGAAAATGATGCTTCTTCTCAAGGCTTCTCGTTAAACTTTTAGAATTCATTGTCATCAATATTAGCAAAACGTTGTAGAATCTTAGAATCATTGTCTATTTATCCTTAGAAAAAGAAACTCATTTCTAGCAGTAGAGTTTATGAGATGCAATAATAGCTAAAGTAATATAATGCAGTATATATCATCAGACGTTTCAGATATTAATTCATATACAAAATTATTGTATATTTCTTTACAAAATAAACATCTGAAAAAATATGACACATTACATGTGATTATTTTTGAAATCATATAAATTTTAAACAAGAATTGAAAAAATACAATTTTACAAAAGCAAGTAAGTTTTAAGAACTTTTAACAAATGCTTCAAAAGATTGTTTTCTACGTTTCATTTATGCGCATTACCAATTGACTACCAACTTATGAGGATTTAAAATAATGAGAACATTCCAACACAAAAGAACGTCAATACCTTAACAGAGAATTTTCATCTTTGTTCTAGCGACCGGGTTATTGTGTGGTGCCATAATGTCGGATCACTGGGAAGAAGTTGGCTGGGATAAGGAGGCTCTAACTCATGCGAATGTTACACTCACGTGGTATTTGGATGGACAAGTAGCAATGGTAGAACCAACATCCGGCCACAGAAACCATCATTCTACTTTTCTCGTACCTATGTACGGTGGTATTTGGATCATGTGTGTCTCGCTTACTGGTAAGTATACAATTTAATGAATTTTGATTAAACAGAGCTTTGTTAGATATTCTCTTATGTTTAGAAAATAGTTTAGGATTTAAAACTTGCATGGATTTTTTAGATTACCATTGACGACGTTTTTTAATTCGTTATTTATTAGTTTTTAAAAAAGCTTTACTCGTGTATTTTATATAAGTCGCATCAATTTTTTCTTTATCTTAATTAAATATTTTTTCAATATTAAAATAGTAAAATGTGAAAATAATTTGATGAGTAATTCTTGAAGATATTTGTTTGAACGTGAAAAATCGATTTTGTGTGTAAATTTTCAATGATACACAGTGCACACACCTCACGTAATCACCTCGACGTATCTACAATGATGCGGTTCCGTATGAACCGGTGTTCTATACATGGATACCACCTTGACTCTGACCAAGCTATCGACCAGTCGATTACGATCTGAAATATCGTACTGTCTGACTAGGCATGCCGTGACCATGAACATCTTGGATGTTTCTTCGTTGAAAACTTTGTCCCAATCACTTTCACTGTGCTAAAAACTTCATTCAAACGAAACGAAGAGTAACATATTAAACAAAAATTTCTTTACTTTTTTTTGATTAATTTTTTTTTTTAATTAATGAATATTGAGTTTTGTAAATTTAAATAGATATGGATAATTTGTTTGAAAAACAAATATTATATTATGGACAAAAATTATCAGATAATTAGTTTTAATGCTGATATCATATATCAGTAGCTTCCACAATATAACGAGATTTTAAATTAAAGCATCAAGTAATGACATTTGAATGCGAATGTGTTTGAGAATTGCAATGTTCTATCTTTTTCAATGAGAATTAAACTAAGTTTAAAATATGAATACGTCTGAGAAAGGAAATTTTAATAATGAGAATCTTTCTAGAACAAAAAACGAAAAAGAATAAGAAAGTAAAGAAAAGATACTAAGAAAAGAATTTGAATTATAAGAAATATTTGAACATCATTAAGAAGAAAACTATAGTTATTTTTTTTTTACAAAAATAAATAAATAATATCGTAATAATTTCATAAAATTCAAGGAAAATATTAGATAAAAAAAAATGGATCGTTTTCGAAAAAAAATTTTCTTGAAGAAAAAATCAATCATAAAAAAATATAACAAACTAAACAAAACATCATAAAAAATACAATACGTTTTAAATTAAATACTTTGAACATTTGAAAGAATTATTTTTTATCAAATAAAAAAAGAAAAAAAAATCAAGAACAAATTTCATACAATGTAAAAAAATGAATCAAAATATGAAGATACATTATTGAAAAATTATATATGATAAACACTCAAATTGATAATCATTGCCATTCATATTGATTTGTTTTACATTTTAGCATCAAGAAGTGTAGTTACTATCGCAAAAAAGTTATCGCTATAAAATACGATAAGATTATTCAATTTAATAATAATCTTATCAATCAGAAAACATTAGAAAAAAAAAATATAAAAGATGTCATAAATAGATGTGATTTACTTTAAAATCATTATTTGAGCATATTTTTATCTATCTCTTTATGTTTGACAAAAAAAATTATAAATTTTTTCCTTATTAATACAATTTATAAATATAATTTTAAATATAATTTTATTATTAATTTCTTTTTTTGCATTCTTTAATGAGCAATGTAATTATTTTTATATATCAAAATGCGATCTCTTTAAATAAGAAATTCCATGGAAAATTTTCTTATTTCCTTTCTTTTCTTTTTCTTTTCATAACGATTCAGTAATATTGAAAATTGCAATGTGATATAACGAAGTCATTCCTTCGTATTTCTCGACGTTTTATTACGAACTTACTTGTCAACAATCTTTGTATTCTCGTCCAAAAAGTTTAATTGAAAAAAAAAGACCAATACCAGAGTTAAAGTTTCAATATTTCTACGTTTTCGATGATCTTTTCTTATTTATTGGGTGATTTTTCACTGTTGATTGTATGTTCTGAAGTTTAATTTTCTCGCCTTATTAGGAACAAGAGAAAAATGAAAAGGCTATGATTACTATTTGCTTTTCTTCCGAACTACCTATTCAACTCGTATTTAAATTCTTTAACTTTTTACACTGGAAGTTTCTGCTATGGGAAAATATGAAAATTAAGTAGAAATAGAAGTAGTAATGAATTTAGGATAAAAAAAAAAGTTATAGCGCTATATTTATAAATAAGATGAATTTTTATCGTTGAATAAACTTGACCTTAGCAAAAGTACTCAATTTCTTCTTTTAGTTCCTCCTTTTTTTTTTTTTCTTTTTTGGAGAACTTTCTTTGATGGTTTCTGGTCACGCCAAGCACGAAACGTTACTGTTTAAATCAAACGGTGCACGTTCCTTCCTCTATGTACTGATGTTCTTCGTGAAAATCAATCTAAAATTCTTGACTCGCAAATGTTGAAATTATCTCGTGATATTTGATGTTTCTATATCCATGCAAATAATTTGTACATTCTTTAGAGACAATAAATCCCTGAAATTCTTTGTTAAATATGTAATTTCGAAGATGTTGAAATTCATTAATGAAATTTTACTTTTTTATTTAACCTACATTTATCTTAAAATATCATTGTTCATTTGCTCAATGAAAAGTGAGATATGAGGGTAGATAGAATAACCCAGATCTGATGAACTTGGATCGAGCTATTTCTGCTTCAGAATTTATTATTACTCAATTCTCCAAGTTTCTACGGCCTTCTAACCCTCGTCTTCCTGACATTTCACGGAAATCCATGCTTTGGAGGTTCATCCTCTCCAACGAGCCGATAGTATTCGGAATCTGATATCGAATCTCACGCTCCAACTATTCGGCGCTCTTGGCCCGAGATTTAATTTGATTACTCATTTCAAGTATTAAGTATTTCGAGTTAATCGGTCACATATAAATCCAAACCAATATGTTTATCAAACCATTATGCATTTTTTATTGTTTTTTTTTCGAAAGACCAACGCGAACTTTATTTTTATTTTCATTTTCTAACCGATCGATTCCACTTTCATTATATATTTCTTTATATATTTCGTTGCTGTCGTGCTAAAAAAATATGAAGCTTTCCAATTAAAAATCAAAACATATAAAAAGAAATATCTTCTCAATTTATAATTAAACATTCGTTAGAATTTATAATGAATCCAAAGTTATATAAAAAATATGTTACTCGAATAAGAATTCGGTAAAAATTTGCTCCTCTTTGATACTTTTTCAATAAACTGGATTGAATGTTTTTACGCTCTTTCATCACATTTTTAACACGCGGAGGGAAACTTTTAAGGATCGTTTAATTAAAAATCGAGGTGCAAAGAAACGAGAGAAGTGGAAACCTACCCGTTCATAATTTTGTTCCATGTCGTGCAAGAAACAGC